GGACTGGGACCACCCTGCCTTCCAATGACACATAGAGAGAGCTTTGGTGCTAAGTGAGGAGGCCACACTGCTCACCCTTCACCACGGGCTGACGGCTGCACTTCTGAAACCATAATCACCATGCTTCTTTGCCGAAGAGACTGCGCACCATGAGAAACTCGACTCCTCCACCCCGCCCGCTCCCCACATGGGCCTCCTGACACGCATCAAGCACACCAAAAAGCATTCAGCGCAGATTGGCACCAGCACTTTGCCCTTGGCAACTGGGAGCTAAGTGTCCCCAGCACCATCCATCTCCCCAAAGCTTGAACGTAGCAAGGACTTCCGTGGACTTTTGTGGCGGCCTCTGTCTCTGGACTAGATGGGCGGTCTGTTCTGAGTCGAAGGACTACGGATGGCAGTCATGGGAGGAGGGGGGTGGTCAGTGCGGGCAGAGGTTCAAGGACATCTCGGTGAGGAGAGGCGGCGATACGGGACAACTTGGTGAGCCCAAGAAACTAATGGAAGCCAGCCAGGAAATGGCTCACCCGGGTCACTTTCAAACCATGCTGTCGGTTCAGCTCTACCCTTGTGGCCACCCCTTCTGGTGCCCTGGGATGGGGAGACCTGGGCCTTCCACTGTCTACGGGAAGCGCCACCGGCCCTCCAAGGCCCCACGCAGGACTGGGACGCCTCGGCCCGTACGGGGCCTGACCCTGTCTCCCCAGCCCTTGCCACCCTGGCCCGCGTGCCCCCGGACCTCTGAGCATCTTCCCGGGAAAAGCAATGAGAATGCTAATGTAGTTAGGTGTTTCAATGTACAAATCCCTAATATGGCTTAAAAAACGTCGCTTTTCCCAGGAGGACGTTTGTCGTCCGCAATGGCTGAGCCTGCGTGTGGGGTGAGCCCGTGGAAGTCCCTGTGAGGATCGGGAGATGGAACCACGGACACCCCCCACCCCCAGCCGGCCACGCCGGGGCCACGTCAGCAGGATGGCCACACGTGCACACGGTCACCCCAGGGGGTGAGGCGGGGCGGGGGCCACCCCGGCGCACATTCCTTATATGGCTTTGAGTCCAGAGAGCAACAGGCAAGGTGCACCCCCGACGGCACTGGCCCACAACACCCGCACCACCACACACCCGACTCACTCCCCCCCACGAGCACAGACCCACGGGGGGTGCCACACAGGGCCGGGGCAGAGACACAGAATTTCAACGTAAGAGAGAGTGTGTTCAGGAACAGCTTTTCCAAAGGTGATCGCTCTGATCCTTCCTTCCTTTAATCTGAAAGGAACCCTAAGCAAACCAAACAAACAAAGCCCCCCAAAGGCAGAACAGAAAGAAACGAGAACCCTGGTTCTCGGGCGCGGTGTGCGGGTGGCCAGCACCAGCACGCGGGGTGTCCCCGGGCGTGGACGCCCCGTTTGTCGCGCCTGGCACATGTGCTGTGGGTGTTATAGACGCCGCCGCCGGCGTCGGATGGGGTCATACGGGGCTCTTCCCCCTCTCCCCCCAAATTCACGACATGGCTGCGGCCAGTTCAGGGTGTGTGGGGCTGGCGGGGGGGGGGTGGAGACAACATGAAGGGCGGTTCCTGGGCTCTGGCTGAGGAGACACTGTGAGAAAGTTCCGGAATGACGGGCTACTGTACAACCACCCCCTCACCCCCCCACCCCCTCCGGCGGCCCAGGTCGGACTGCAAGAGACACACCCAGGACCAAGAAGAGGCAGGAGGAGGGAGGAAGAGGAGAGGCTAGAGCCAGGGAGCGAGGGAGGAAGGGGAGGAGGGAGGGAGGGAGGGGCAGCGAGTGAGCGGGAGGGGGGGCTCCTTAACGCCTCCTCCCTGGGCCTCCGCTCCCAGCTTATTCTGGAAGGGACAAGGTTCACTGCCCCCCCCATCCCCTCTTAGGCCTCATGGGTTGGCCTTGAACCTCTGACTCGGTCCCAATTCAACCATCTGATGGGGGGGGTGCAGGGAGAGTGATGGGTTGGGACCAGATCAGAGCTTTAGAGAGATGGGGGCGTCCTGGGGCTGGATGGGAAACACAGCACTGGTGGGGGGCGTGGGGGGGCGGACCGCACCCTGTGGGAAGGGAGAGAAGAAAAGACAGGATGGAGAAGAGAGGGACAGGGAGAGGAGGAGGCGAAGGAGAACAGAGAAGAGGAGGAAGAGGAGGGGTGGTGAAGGGAGAGGGGAGGGGAGAAAGGCCACCACACCACACCAGGCCAGCAGTCCAGCCAGAAGCATTCTGCGTGTCCAGTTAGTCCGACGTCAGGTTTCGAACACCATACTTGGGGCCCACAAGCAGTAACGGGACGGGCGGATACGAAGCCGCCCTCACTGTGGGTCCTCACGTTCCCCCCCCCCCCCATCTGTGGATCAGAGCGGCCAGCCGTCTTTTCTAGAAAGGCGCACACATCTTCACCATACCTTCCTGGACATGGAGGCCATTCACACCGTGACAAAAAGCCGAGTGGGTGGACATTTTCCCCTCCTAGGTGACTCATTAGAGGTGAGAAGGGGGTGCGGGGGGGGGAGCCGGGGACCTGGGGCATGGGCGCAGGAGAAGGTTCCGGGTGGTACGAGGGTTGTTTGACATCAGGGAGGCTGGGTGGGAGAACCCTGCAAGGACGAAGCTTCCGGAAATTTCTCAGCCACGCCAAGAGCGGATGGGAGGCGATTCGACGTCATGTCCGGTTTGCAGCCCTGTGCAGGCGGGTTGGGACCCAGCTCCTGCTGTCCATCCGTGGTCCATCTACCGGACCAGGGTCAGCCAGGGTGGGCGTCGGGCCACGGGGTCCCCCCCTCCCGAGGCCCAAGGTTCACGGCCAGTAGGAAGACTGTTTTGGGGTGCGGGAAAGATGGACGCCAGAGACTCTGCCCTGGGTTTTAACCCCAGCGGCTTTCGTGGACATTCACGTGTTTTGATTTTCCCCAGACACTCGGAGGCAAAGGCCACGCAAACAATTCTCCCGGTGGAAAATGGACCAAAAAAAAAAAAAAGAGAACACCCCACAAAGGAAACACCCCCTCGTGAATGAGAAACGCCTGGTCGCCGTCGGTCCGGTCCCCACCCACCCTCCAGCTCGAATACCCACAAGAGAACGATGTAGCTATACAAAAGAAATCCATTAGAAAACAGAAATATTTACATAGGAAAGAAACACCATCTCCCTGCCTGTCACCCGCGGAGACAGACGCAGCCCCCTGTGCGTGTGTGCGTGCGTGCGTGTGTGTGTGTGCTGGGTTAGTGGTCGGGTGTGGTTTTTATTTTGAAAGGCGTGAGGTAAGAGGAGAAGTGAGGCGTGAGCCCCCCGCACCCCGGCCCGCATCAGGGTGAAGCAGTGTTCCTACGGCCCTTCTCGTCCTTCCTCCCGGAGCGGCCTCGCGCCCGCCGTCCTGGCTCCGATTCCCCGACGGCCACAGCCCTTTGCCCCCACGCGCGTGTGTGGGAAGAAAACACGGCCTTCGGTCGGCTTGCAGATGGAAGGTAGTGGAGGTAAAGGTGAGGGGGGAGGGGGAGAGGAGGGGAGAGGGAGGGAGAGGCGGGAGGGCGAGCTGGAGGGCGTGGCTGCTGTCTTGCAGGGGAGGGGAGCACCGTTCTGGCTTGCCTGTCCTGTGCGTCACATGGCGATTCTGCCATCAGGCGTCCACAGCGACCCGGCCCGAGGGAGGGCAGGGCAGCGCCCAGGGGGGCTTTTCCCTCCTCAATTCTCCATCTTTCCCAGAGGGGTCCTGCCTTCATCACCACCCTGGTCCCTGGAGCTGCATGGGTGCACGCATGCACGCACACACGCACACACACACACTGCACGCACGCTCATGAGTATTGACTTGCAAGTGGTGTAATCAGAGAGCGGAGGGAGCCGTTGCTAGAAGGGTCACGGGCTTCTGACAGGAGCGGGCTCTCCCAAGTTGGGGGTCCCTCCTAGCTACACCCCTCCACTTCCATATCTCCCCGCTCCGTCCCTGCCTCTTGCCTATCCCCCGTCTCTTGCTGTTGGTATTTCTTGGGGAGCGCTCAGCCTGCTCTTCCAGCCCCAAGTGGAGTAAGAAGGGGTGAAGGCAGGGTAACCCCGACACCGATGACAGCAGCCCCCTTCTTGAAACCCCTCCCAGAGCTTGGCCTTTGACCAAAAGCTTGAGAATTATCTAGAATCCATTGCTCTCAAGAATTAATAGCTGCTGAACTCCCTCCCCTCAGCTTCCCGAAAGTTCTTAAATCAGCTGCAAGTACTGGCCATGTCACTAAAAATAAATAAATAAATAAAGCAATCACACTCAGGCCTTGCTTTTGTGGGATACCACCCCTCCCCCCACCCCATCCCCGGAACAATCTTCATCTTTACATGTTCCTTCCCCCCTCATTCAGAAAGGTGGCGGGGAGAAACCCACAAAACTCTGGGGACACACACACACACACACATTCCCTCTGTACCCTGGGACCCAGTCTCAGAGCAAACTTTCCCGATTTGTTCCGGAATCCCCACCTCCACTGTGGCCTCCCCTGCCTGGTGGGTGGAGTCCCAGCAAACCCCTCTCCCCTCTGCCTCATCTGTGAACAGCCCACCGGGCCCTGGCCTGCTCCTCTTGGCCTCTGTGCCCTCCCCCAAACAGAGCGCCTGAGCCTTGACATTCTGTCACTTGGTCCTTTGCCCAGCCCCTATGGGAAGGTCAGTCTGGGAAAAACTAGTCCTACGTGGAAGCGGCTCCTTTTCCTTTACCCCTGGGAGCCTCTCTGTGAGCTCCTCCTTCCTAGCAGGCCACCCTCAGCTTGGGAGAATGTCCATTTCTGTCCTCTCCTGGGAACAAGGATGGAGGAGGGAGGGAGGGAGGGAGGGGGGAGGGATGGCACCGTCACGGGCTGCCAGGACCCCGCACACACCCACGAGGGAACGAGGAGACCGAGAAAGGAGCCGACGGGCAGCGAGCTCACTCCGGACCTGCCCCCCAGGCCTTCACATGCACCCCGACGCCCCCGGCCCCGCCTCTCCCGTACCCACCTCTCCGCCCTCACTCACACATCAGACTCAATGCTAGACAGTTTTTCGTACACATGACCGTTGCTGGAGCCATTGAAAGCCCTGGGGTTTTTGTTTTTAGGCACGCAGGGGTTGGACTGGTTCCCTATACACATGTCCTTCTGGAAGTGACCGGCCGCCACCCCCGGCTTGCCGGCCACCAGGCCGCGGAAGTCCGGCCTGGCTTTTGCCGCCGCCCCGGCCACCGTGGGCTGTCGGAAGAAGTGAGATTTGCTGCCGTGGAGCAGGCACTGGTCATCTCCGAACGTGGGGATGAAAGGGTTCTGGGTGACCCTGTCAGGGTACAGGGACTTGCTGAGCATGTAGCCACCGCCGCCGGGGTTGTGGTGGTGGCCGGCGGTGGGCACCGAGGCTTTGCTGTTGGCGAAGCCCCCCTCGCCGGCCGCCATCTCGAACATGTGGGCGTAGGGGCTGCCGTCTAGGAAGCGGCTCTTGTCCTTGAGGCTCACGCTGCGCGGGGCCAGGGCGGCCTCCTCCTTCTGCAGGTCCACGAAGGTGTCGTAGGAGTGCTGGCGCCGCAGCCGGTTCCGGTTCTTCTTCTGGGCCTTGGCGTTGGTGGGGCTCTGGGGGTACTTGGTGGACGGGGCGGCCCCGGCGGGCACGGGGGTGGGCCCGGGCTCCAGGTCCTGCAGGGAGTTGTCCTCGCTGATGTCGTAGAGGTTCCCGGCCTTCTTGCACGCCTCGCAGCGGATGCACGGCTGTCGCCCCGAGCTCTGGCCCGGCACCACGGCCGTCGCGTAGTTGTGCAGCTTCGACGGGCAGCTGCGGCAGAAGTTCCCCGTGGACCGCTCGTCCCAGTCCACGGAGCTCAGGCTCTTCTCCCACGGCGCCGGCACGCCACCCACCACGTGCTTGTCGCCACCGCCGCCACCACCGCCGCCCGTCGGATGTTTGACGTGAGGCCTGTTGGGACACGAGCCGCCACCGCCGGTGCTCACCGAGTCTCGCTTGAAGCCGTCGCCGCTCCGTTCCTTGTAGATGTCGGTGAGGTCCACGTGCTCCCAGTGCGGCGAGCTCTCCTTGGGCCGGAACTGGTCCAGGTAGAAGTCCCTCAGCCCCTCCTTGTCCCTGAAGTAGCGCTTGTGGTCGGGCGAGCGCGGCGGCCGTCGGCGGTAGGCCAGCTCGATCTCGTCGAACTCGCGCCGGGACTTGGCGGACGCGGGGCGCTTCTTCAGGCTGTCCTTGTACTGCTGCTTCCGGCGCTTGGCGGCGTTGCCCTCGATGTTACCATAGGTGACGGTGTGCGTGGAGATGTCGGAGGCGTCGGAGCGGATCAGGTCGTCATGGCCGTAGCGGTCGCTCTTGAAGGAGAACTTGCCGTACAGGTCGCCCAGCTGGCCGTGCTTGGCGGGCGGCGGGCCCAGGTCCAGGGGCTTCTTGCCGAGGGGCCGGGGCTGGGTGGTGAAGGGCGGGTTGTCGCAGTCGTACAGGCCGTCGATGGAGCTGGTGCTGCCGATGCTGTGCGGGCGGTGGTGGTGGTGGTAGTGGTCCTGGTACACATTGCTGTCCTTCAGCTGCAGGTTCCCGAACGTTCGCTCCACCTCGCTGATGTAGTCGCTGAACAGGTTCTCCTCGCAGGGCGGGTTGTAGGACTTGCAGTCCGAGTGCGTGAAGCTGCGCCGGTGCTCCGAGATGTCGTAGACCGATGACTCGCGGCGGATGAAGTCCAGGGCGCTCTGCGGGGAGCCGTTCACTCCGGACAGGTTCGCCATGTTCTTGGCCGTGCGCAGCAGACGCAGGATGTTGGAGTGCGTGTTGTTCATGGTGGCCGTCGGGGAGTTCATCACCGACTGGCGCTCCTCAATCGCCACCCCGTGGATGCAGCTGTAGATGCCCTGTGGGTGGGTGGGGGGGAACATCAGAGAGCATGAGTTAGGTTTTCTGGAAGTTTCTGGAAGGTTCCAGAAAGTTCTGGAGACCAAGAACTGCCCTCTCCCGCCGGGAACTGCCTGGCTGGGGAGAACATCAGAGAGAGAGAGAGTTATGGTCCTGGGGCTGGAACTCGGGGCCCAGGCTCTCTCCCTGAGCTTTGCTGTTTTTCTACTGGAACTCTGTGGTGCAGGGGCTGTGGACCCCCCCCCCCCCCGCAGTTCTCTTCTTCTCCACAAGGCCTCAGCCCATGGCACAGCTAAGAGAGGATGTGGAGGAGGCCCGGCTCTCCACCGCAAAACCAGCCCAGGCCCAGAATGCGTGATTCTGCCGGCCCGGTCTCCCGAGAGCTGGCTGGCAGGGCCTGGGCCACCGCGCCTGTCTGACAGGCTTTTTTTTTTTTTGACTCCCTGGACTTCATACATGGTTAGAACACAGGCGGAATGAAACCGCCAACAATATACCTCTGCACGTTGCAGCAAGAGAGCTAGCCACAAGAAGCGCAAGCGTCTGAAGGAGGACATGATTAATGCGGCCTCCGTGGAATCAGCTAGTGCTGATGAAAAGCACTGGGGACCAAGCCAGGATTTCCGTTCCCTAGACCTGCCAGTTCTTGTTGAGCACCAAATGTTCCAGGCCCACACTGTGCGGGGCTTATCCCCCTCTCTGAATAAATATGAAATATAATATCACCCACTCTTTGTTTCTTGGGTCAGTCATGGGACTTGAACTCAGGGCCTGGGCGCTGTCCCTGAGCTCTTCAACTCAAGGGTGGTGCTCTACCACTTGAGCCATGGCTGCACTTCTGGTTTTCTGAGTGGTTTATTGGAGATAAGAGTCTCACGGATTTTCCTGCCCTGCCTGGCTTTGAACCGAGATCCTCAGATCTCAGCCTCCTGAACAGCTGGGAAGACAGGCGTGAGCCACGGGCACCTGGCCTATCACCCACTCCTGAACCACTGGAACCACATCACATGTGCTCCCAGGGAAAATGCATGCAGCAGCCACGCCAGGCCAGCGCTTGCGCCCCCTAGGAGCTGGGTGTTTGCATGGTGTGGGGCCACGCCGCCTGGGGAGCCCCGGGGCATTGACCCGGAAGCACTTACTCTGCTGATGGAGAAGACCATGCCGGGCTTGCCAGAGCAGACGCCCATGAAGCAATGGCGGAACTGCCAGTAGAAGAGGTGCTCGCAGATGAAGGTGATCAGGCTGAGGGCCATGGCCGCCCCTAGCATGTAGAAGACGCCCGCCATGTTGTCGATGTCTAGCTGGCTGCTCATCACCTCGTTCTTCTCATTGTGACAGATGCCGGTGAGCCACAAGGCTTCCAGCTCCTCCATCTCCCCTGAGGACCGGGCGGCGGCCGGAGAGACAGACAGGGAACGAGGGACCGTGGGAGAGGAGGAGAGGGAAAGGGGGAAACAGAGGGACATGGAGGAAGACAGAGAGAAAGATAAAAACATGAGAAAAAGCCAGAGACACAGAGGAAGGAATCATGTCCACACTCATTTTATTGCCATTAAATGTGACTCAATCTTTTTGTGTGTGTGGCCAGTCCTGGGACTTGAACTCAGGGCCTTGGCACTGTCCCTGAGCTTCCTTTGCTTAACGGCAGGTGCTCTACCACTTGAGCCACGGCACCACTTCGGACTTTTTCCATGTAGCTAATTGGAGGTAAGAGTCTCATGGACTTTCCTGCCTTGGCTGGCTTTGAACTGTGATCCTCAGATCTCAGTCTCCTGAGTAGCTGGGATGACAGGCATGAGCCACCGGTGCCCGGCTCAATCGGTCATTTTATTAATACGGTCATATATGAATCCATCAGCGTGTCCAGCTGCTACTCCATGGAAATCTAGGAGGAACCTGCGGGCGATGTGAAGAAATGAGAGGTGCACACTTCTCTCTCTGATGTGGTGCAAACAGCTTTGCAAAGGACCGACATGGCTGAGCTCTCCGCCATGCAGGTAAGAGAGGCCCGGCCGGTGGGGGTCATTGTGTGGCTAGCGTGGTCAGTGAGTGTCTAGGAGGGACGGGGGCCTGGTGAATGTGTGGATTTTAATTTCTACCGCAGTGGAAAGTGGCAGGAAGAGGACAGTCAAGAGGGAGGGTGTAGGCACACATAAGGCTCGCTGAGGGGAAGGATGGAGAAGAATCCGGCCGGGTAGCAGTCTGCAGATGAGGTTGAACAGAAACGCTCGTTTAAACATGTTGGGTCAGGGAAAGACAGACAGAGAGGCGGAGGGACGGAGTCCCTGGATTGCAGGAGTAGGCCTGGATTAGGAGCCAGCCCACCCAGACCAGACCTTTCTCTTTTTCAGCCAGCTTTGATGGCTTCCGTTCGGCCGGGTTTCAGTGTCCTTTGTGCACTTGGGTGGAGCTGGGGACGTCAGAGGCAGGAAGGAGATGGAAGGGAGCAGGTTCCATGAGAACTCCGAGGAAAGAAAATCATCTCACGAGGAAGGCTGCCCATGCCAAGGGTTTGAGTCAGGTTAGAAACTTTGGATGCACAATCCGATAGGGGCCCCTGCCCCCAAGGCGTTCACGAGGCGTCTCCAGCTCGCCGGTGACCTTGGTAAAACCACGGAAGGGCTCACGGCAAGCTGACTTGTCACGTCACCAGCCGTTTCCCCTGCTCTTTTTGACATCAACCCAATCTCTTTCTAACTCCTGTCTTTGATCAAACAATGCTTTTTGTTTTACTCTCTCTCCCTTCTTCCAAACTTGGGCAGCAGCCACTTCACCTCCAATCTGAAAGGCCACCCCGGGTCCTCCTAAGAGCCAGGCATGATTTGGAGCTGTGTGGCAGACACTCTGCAGAGTGTAGAGATGGACACCGCCCAGGAGAAAGCGGATTAATGTCTGGTGGTGCGCGTGCACGCTCACGCGCACGCACACACACACACACAGGACATCAGAGTGAAGAGAAATGTGGAAAACCAGAGCACAAGCAATCAGGAGAGATGACTTCCTGTTCTGTCTTCTGATGGAGGACATGGGAGATTCTTTCCTTTTTGGCGTGTGTGCCGGTCCTGGGGCTTGAACTCAGGGCCTGGGCACTGTCCATGAGCCTCTTGGTACTTAAGGCGGGCACTCTACCACGTGAGCCACAGTGCCACTTCTGGCCTTCTCTGAGCGGTTTATTGGAGATCAGAGTGTCACGGACTTTCCTGCCTGGGCTGGCTTTGAACGACGATCCTCAGATCTCAGCCTCTCCTGAATAGCTGGGATGACAGGCGTGAGCCACTGGCGCCTGGCCCTGTGCACACTTAAGATCCCAGACTCCAAGCCTCCAGAATTACCAGGCAACAACCCAGGCCATGTAAGTCGCCTGGCTTAAGGCCGTTTGTCTCGGCAGCACCAGGAATCTACCGAACACACCCCCCCCCCCCGCCCACCTCTGGTCAACTAGGGTGACAATGAATTCTAATTGATTTATTGATTGACTTGGAAATGCACAGATTGGAGGCAGGGATCGGGAAGGCCGGGGTTCCGGGCGGGCCTCCAGTGCAGGCCCGTGATCCCGTTCTTGGACTCACCGTCACCGAACAGCTGCAGGATGGCCAGGTCTATCTGGCGCTTCCAGCCCGAGTCCTTCTGGATGGCGATGCCATAGCCGGTGGAGGCGAAGACCTTGCCGCTGCCGATGGTCACCAGCTTGCAGCCCTCATCCCGACCGGCCATGTAGTTCAGCACCGCTGCGTCGTAGATGAACGCGTCTAGTTTTCTGCACGAGAGAGAAGCAGAGGGGCCGGGTCTGGAGGAGGGAGGTGTTTGACGACCAGAATGACCCATGTGGCAGGGGGAGGGCAGGAGTGGGGGAGGGGGTCATCCGGAAAGCTACCGGCAGGGCCCAAGGGGCTGCTCTGTTCTCTGTGGATTTGGGGTGAAGAGGAAGGGTGAGAATTCTATAATTTTTTTCTTTCCATTTCTCAGCTTATTACAGCCCAGGGTGGGGAGAAAGGGTGAGGGTGTCCGGGCTTCGATAGGTGCTATTATTATTATTTTGTGTGTGGGTTCTGGAAGGTTCTGGAAGGTTCTAGCCTTCTGTGCTGGGCGGGGATGGTGTAGGCTTGAGTAGGGGGCAGACACGAGCCATCATGAGAGAGGGAGAGACTCAGAGCTCGCAGACCCCTCTGTGTGGAACTACATGGGGAAGGGTGGGCATAGAGGGCGTGCTCAGAGGCCAGGCTGCAGGCAGGCGCCCCACCCAAGCCCAGCCTTCACCGCAAAGCCACGCAGGCAGCAGACAGATTCGGGGGAGCACGCAGCAGGCGGTCTCCCCAGATTTCCACGAGGTCAGCTGCTTGGTCATGAGGCATGGGTGGATCTCTTATAAAAGGGGGCACAGCCCAAGTCCCAAAAGTTGCTTTCTTGGGTGTCTGACGGGCGCTGAGTCTCACGGACTGGCTAGGATTTTCAGGCAGGAGCCACCGGTGCCTGGCTCCTTTCTACTTAAAAAAATACGCATTTCATCTGTTTCGTGGTTAAGTGAAGGCCAACAGACGGGACACAGAGATCAGCCACAGCCCGGGAGCCGCAGAGCACGGGCCGGCTACCCCGGGGAGGCGTGACGCAATCGTGTGTCAAGGGCCAACGTGGGCCTGTCTCAGTGGAATGGTTTTAGGGCACCAGGTGTCTGACCCGGCGGGCACGGGCTCCCCGGGCTCCGGCCGGTGCTTACCCCGTCTTGAGGGAGAGCAGCGCGTCGTCCACGCCCCTCTGGTTGAACTTCCCCATGTAGGCGTGCATCTCCGCATAGTTGTTCCGGATGTTCCGCTCCGTGCTGCCGTTCGGCACCGTCCCGAAGCGGAAAGGGGGTGAGAAGTCATTGGGTCTCTGGAACTGGGGGGAGAAAGGGGGGGAAGAGAGAAGGGAAGAAAGGAGAGAGAGAAATCAGAGAGAGGGGGAGGAAGAAAGGAGAGAAAGCCAAGAGGAGAGGGGGGAAGGTGAGAGAGAGAAGAGAGAGAGAGGGAAAGGGGGAAGGAAGGAAGGAAAGGGAGAAAGAGAGACAGAGAGAGAGAGGGAGAGGAAGAAAGGAGAGAGAGAAAGCCAAGAGGAGATAGAGGAAGGGAGGGGAGACAGAGAAGGGAAGAAAGGAGAGAGAAAAATCCAAGAGGGGGGGAAGGAGAGAGGGGGGGAAAAGGGAGGAAAGAAGGAAGAAAAGGGAGAGATAAGAGAGAGGGAGAGGAAGAAAGGAGAGAGAGAAATCCAAGAGGGGGGGAGAGAGAGAGAAGAGAAAGGGAAAGGGGGAAGGAAGGAAGAAAAGGGAGAAATCAGAGAGAGAGAGAGAGAGGGAGAAGAGAAAGGGGGAAGGAAGGAGAGGGAGAACGCCGAGGAGGGAGGGAAGGAAGGAAGGAGAGGGAGAAATCAGAGAGAGAGGGAGAGGAAGAAAGGAGAGAGAGAAAGCCAAGAGGAGAGAGAGGGAAAGGGGAAGGAAGGAAGGAAAGGGAGAAATTAGAGAGAGGGAGAGAGAGAAAGGGGGAAAGGAAGGAGAGGGAGAAAGCCAAGAGAAGAGAGGGGGAGGGAGAGAGGGAGGGGGAGAGAAGAGAGAGAGAGGAGGAGGAGAGATGTCAAGTTGGTATGAAAGTCAGTTTCTCAGGATGGGCAGGTTCTCACCAGAAGTGGGCTTGAAGTCGACTTCATGCACATTGCTAGAAGTTTCTATCGGCCCAGCCCTGGACCTCCCGCAATGAGCCCCGCGTGCCCGTCTGGGCTGGTGGCATGATGCGGGAGGGAAGGCACTGAGGGCCGCACAGGCGATGCCATTGCTGTCCATTCTGGAAGTTGCACCCTGGCCTCTCCGCCAGCGGCCGGGGCGCGGCCTCTGCGCAGCGAAGGCCCGGGGCCCCGGCGGTACGAGCCGCACACACTGGGCCCCGGAGGGTCACGCGTGCTTCGCTAACGAGTTTTCTCTGGACCCCGACACAAGACACAGACACCAAATAGAACTTTAATTGTGCGCCTCCCCTTGCTAAAATACTCCGTAGATCACAAACGCCTGCCACGAGACACTGAAATCTCTTGAATTCTCACCCCTATGATCTCAGCTTTAGTTCTCTGCTTTTTGACCAGGACGCGAACTCAGACTCTGAGGCTGTCACTCACCGGAGGATGCTCTACCGCCTGAACCATGCCTCCCGCTCCCCAGGTTTCTCTCACAGATGATAATCTGTGGCCAGCAAGTCTTAATTTTGCGTCTTTGTATCTCCCAAGTCGCGCGTGGTCTGTCTCCTGGCACAAAGTCACTTCCCCTCCAGGATCATTCACGACCTTCATTTGAACACGTGGAATTCAGGCTGATGGTTTCCCTGGGGGACTTTCCGTGGTTTTTCTCTTCGATCGCGTTTATCCCAGAGTGACCAGGAGGTGGCCAGGTCCCAATCCACGCTGCCCACTCGGTCCCTCCCACCAGGCATCCACTCGACGGTCACCACTGACCTCCTGTGTGATCAGCCAGGTTGGGCTTGAGGTTGAAATGGACAGGGCTGGACATGAAGATGGACACACCCTGGGCTCTGTGTGTGTGTGTGTGTGCGTGCCACCTGGCACCGTCCAATGTAACACCCCAGACATTTTCAGCTAGCCATCCTCCTGATCACAAGCAGAATCCGCCGCATTGCAGGCAGTGATGTTTCTGGATAAACGCCCCTTTGGATTGGTTGAGTCCCCGCTTTGCTGGGACAATGGTGCCGGATGCTCTCAGAGCCAGAGTTCTCTCCGAAAGCGTCAACTGAGTTGTAATCACGTCCGATTCAGCCCTAAAATAGACGGCTATACTCTAATCTACTCATTTTTTGGGGGAAAAAATTGGCGATCTACACAAGGTATGTGACGCGCTGGTTGATTAGGCAGATAGAATCTCAGAGACCAGGGCGGCACTTCCTGGCCGAGCGGCGTCTATAGATTCCAGATGCTGAGTCAGGAAGATCCGGAGAAAAGGAGGCTTTGGAAAATGAAAAAACAAAAACAAAAAACCCCACCGCGTGAGGAACTTCGGAAAGCTGCAGGGAGCAGAGCGCTGTCCCAGGGATCGGAAGGTCGTCGGGTCCCCAGCAGCCCCCGTGCCGGGCACAAGGGTGGGCTCGTCTCCAACAGACGCTGGGTATAAAAAGAGGCCTTAGTCCATGTCGGCACAGAAATCAACCCCACACAGACCACAGACCCAATGTCACACAACACCTAAGACTTGTATAAAAATCGCTGGATAAAATGATCCCACATCAGCTGGGCGCCGTGGCTCACACCTGTCATCCCAGCTTGTCAGGAGAGGCTGAGATCTGAGGACTGTGGTTCAAAGCCAGCCCAGGGCAGGAAAGTCCGTGAGACTCTGATCTCCCATGAACCACCAGAAAACTGGAAGTGGCGCTGTGGTTCAAGTGGTAGAGCGCCAGCCTTGAGTGAAAGAGCTCAGGGACAGCGCCCAGGCCCCAAGTTCAAGCCCCAGGACTGGCACTCACCTTCTGACATCTCAGGGCTCTGGGGGTGCTGGGGACCCACTCCCCAGGCCTGCCCCCCAGCAAAGAGGAAGGGAGAGGCCGCAGGGGAGGGAGGACTGCATGCTGTTTTATTATTCAGTGAGTGCACGACGAGATTTTTCTGATGTAGAAAGCACTACGTGTTCATTAACGATAGACACTGCGTGTGAATCGAAGTACATCAATTCACTTGGCAAATATTTACCGGGACTCGACTGGGAGGGGGCTGGGTTAAGATAGGAAAGTCCTGCGAGCTCCTTCATTCTGCCCTCCATGCGTGAACGACCCCTTGTTCCTCGGCTCCCGCACCCGCCCTCTTGCCCGTGCTGCCGGGGGCGTTCAGCGAGCATGTATCAGTATATAACCACACAGACAAGAACCTGGGTGCCAGGTGCCCAAATGCCACTCTGCCCTTCCAGGCACCCAGGGGAAATGTGGGAGCCGTACGTCGGCCATCTGGGTCTGCACAAATCCCCGCTCACTCGTCCACTGGCCCGACAACACCCTTGCCCCTTTTGTCAGTTGTGGGTCTTGAACTCGGGGCCTGGGCGCTGTCCCTGAGCTCTTTTGCTCTAGGCTGGCGCTCTACCACTTGAGCCACAGCGCCACTTCCGGTTTTCTAGTGGTTCCTTAGAGATCAGAGTCTCACAGACTTTCCTGCCCGGGCTGGCAGCTGTGGAGGAGTTAATTTGTCCTCAGGGCATTTGAGGGCAAGCTTCTCAGACACATTTCCCTCCTTCCCACCCTCCGCCCCCTCCCTCCCTCCTCCTCCTTCATAAACTCTATCTGCCCTGAGCTCTCCTGAGAGCCTGTCAGGTTTGGGACTTGACAAGGCGTGTGAACATTTCTTTGGCACCAAGAGTGTGACCGTAGTCAGGGGCGATTAGGAGGCCGTGGAGGCCGTGGGCCGGTGGGGGCGGGCGCCAGGCTGTCCACCCCGTCCACCCATCCCTCAGCCACGTACGGCCCAGCCGCCTACTTGTGAGCAAGGTGGTCATTGTGCCTTCCCTGCCTCTCAGAGTCCCGAGACAGTGCAGGAGAATGTTCCAGAGTCCCGAGACAGTGCAGGAGAATGTTCCAGAGTCCTGAGACAGTGCAGGAGAATGTTCCTGATTTTTTTTTTTAAGCTGTGGGTGGGAGTAAGAAGAAGGAGGCAGTGGACAGATGGAGGCCTCTCCCGGGGGTCCTGGGGAGTCAGGCCCCGCATTGCTGCATGTGGGGTCTTCTGTGGGGGCTGGTATGGCACAGGCTCTGGGGAGAGCTTAGTCGTTGCTGGTTTCTTCATTTATTTATCCTCAGTCATTCCAGAGATTGTTGATATCACACACCAGCTTATCCATGTTATCTATCATCTATCTATCTATCTATCTATCTATCTATCTATCTATATATCTATCTATCTATCTATCATCCATCCATCCTACCATCTATCCATGCATCCATGCATCCATCTGTCCATCATATCCTACAAAGTGCATTTATCAGAGCACAGAGCACATAAGAAATCAGCTATCCTGTGCCAATGGCTCACACCTGTCAGCTGCTCAGGAGGCTGAGATCTAAGGATCTTGGTTCAAAGCTAGCCCTGGGCAGGAAAACCCGTGAGACTCTTATCTCCAATGAACCAATAGAAAATCAGAATTGGAGCTGTGATTTAAGTGGTAGAGCACCAGCCTTGAGCACAAAGCAGGTCAAATATGGTGCCTAGGCCCTGAGTTCAAGTCCTGGGGAAGGCGGGCACATGTGGACACACACACACACACACACACACACCCCACACAGAAACTTTGAAAAAGAAATATTCTGCATGCACTGGGCTGTCCTGCATCATGCCCATGTCGCTGGGGCTCAGCTTATGTCAGGGTGACGATGCTCTGGGGGTTCCTGCCCGTGCCCAGGGCCAGAGCTGGCTTTCGCTCTGCCTGATGCCTCCTCAGCTTCTCGCGGGGCCTCCAGGGCTGCACTTTGTCTCATTTGGCAGTGGGGCGGAAGGCTGAGTCGTCCTTCTGCGTTTGAGACTCGATCTGCGGAAGGCCGCTCACGTGGATGGCAGGGGGAAGGGGTTTGGCGTCACTGGTTTGCCGTTGCTTTGATGCGCTTGCAGAAGGACTTGAGGAAAAGGCCGAAAATGGCTCCGTGTCCTGAGATGAGGCCTCACCTCTGCACGTGTGTGCATGCGTGTGCTCTCCACTCCCCAGAGCCTCTCTCTCCCGGAGGTCCTGGGCCGCAGCATCTTGCTGTGAGCCATCTTCTTCAATGGCACTGGTGGCGGCCTCAGAAATCACGGCGCGCTCTCTTCAATACCAAGATGATGATGCCCAGCCCAACATCGCTTTTGATTCTGAGCCAAAAAAAGGCTGCTTGCAGCTGTCTCAGCGTCTTGCTGGCAATCAGCAAAAAATGCCCCCAAACAAAAGATCCTTTAACTTTATTCAAAACTGGCTGCAGAGCTAAGCCAGGAAATGCTAAGCCAGGAGATGCATGCGCATATCAGCCTGGCCCGGAGCATGCCCTGGCCTTGGTTCCCTCCTCTTGTTTTGTTCTATGAAAGGGAAGGTTCTCGAATGCCCAAGCTGCGACTCTCAAGCTAGGAGTGCCCACAGCATCCCACGTGCCTCCTGCTCATCCCTCCGGGCAGCAGATACTAAACAAGGAGCTTCAGGACGGGGCCACACCAGTGGGGATGACGCTGCTTCCCCCGGCCCAAGGTCGCACACCTCCTCCTCCTCCTCCTCCTTGCTTGCTCATGCAAGGATCTTGCTGGCTCTGAGCCAATGCCTCTGACACCGTGAATGGATGGAGGGAAGGCCGGAGGCTGTGGTCTAGCAGTCTAGAAACGGCTCCCCACGCCCCGGGCTGGGACATCTACACATGGAATCACAAAGGAAGCAGTCTCTCCAGACTCAGTCCCACGTGGGCTCCACGCCCAGTCTGTCACGAAGCTTTCCTGCCCTGACATGGGGCTGAGATGGAGGGCAGTGAACCCCACAGAAGCCCAGGGCGGCACCGCATGCTCCACATGACGCCCTGGAAGATGGTACGTTGTAGGCCAGGCCACCTGCCACGTATAAACGCTCATACCACGTTCATTCATCTCCAAGGAGGCTGCTGTAGGGGCCTTGAATGAAACGCAAGTTCTTAATACACTCAAGGCCTGCACATCAGGATGGAGAGGGGTCGAGGCCTGGTCTCTGGGGACTGGCACTCTTGTTTACGAGTTTTGGCTTTCATCAAGAAGGAAGAGGGTGACGGGAGAGCTCTCTTGTTCCTCTCTGATGTAAACAAACTGCAGAATGGAGACTTTACCACAGATGCATAAATAGAATACCTGGCCTTTCTAGAGCCACAGATGCAACTGTAAGAAGACACATGCGGATGACAGACACACCCAGATCTAACAGCGCAGAGCAGGGGGCCTAGAGCACTGAAACCCTCCCCCATCCAGAACACCGAAGCCCCTCCCACACCTAGAACACCAAAGCCCCTCCCCCATCCAGAACACCGAAGCCCCTCCCACACCCAGAACACCAAAGCCTCTCCCACATCCAGAACACCAAAGCCCCTCCCACACCTAGAACACCGAAGCCCCTCCCACACCTAGAACACCAAAGCCTCTCCCCCATCCAGAACACCGAAGCCCCTCCCACATCTAGAACACCAAAGCCCCTCCCACACCCAGAACACCAAAGCCCCTCCCACATCCAGAACACCGAAGCCCCCCACACCTAGAACACTGAAGCCCCTCCCACCCCTAGAACACCCCAAGCTTGACTACTGCATCCCACAATACGCCCTGAATTCTGTTAACTAAAATAGTTTGCTGCTTGTTGCGGGTTCTCAGTTTGATGGACTTTCCTGCTCGGGCTGGCTTTGAACTGCAATCCTCAGACGTCAGCCTCCTGAGTAGCTGGGGTGACAGGGGTGAGCCCTTGGCGCCTGGTTCCGGCTTTATTTTCACAGGCCCAACTTCTCTGTGTGTTTCCTCCTCTCCTGTGTTCACTCTTCCTGCTTTTTTCTTCTCTAATGAGACATGGAGAGGTCAGGTCCAGCCTCCTTCCTGGTAATCTGGGCTGACCTCACCTCGAGATCTAATTCCGTGTCCAAAAGCCTTTGTTTTGAATCAGGATACCATTTCCAGAGGGTTCTCTGTGGGGGCTGTGTCTGTGGGGTGCCACCTTCCAGGCCTTGGAGGACTCCAGAGGGGTGGGCAGAGCGCATGCGAGGTCAGGACACAGGTGTTCCTTACGAGGAGGGAGAGAGGAACGGCGAAAGAGGAGTACCGGAGCTCAGAGCTCGGCGTTCAACATGGGTGGATTTTCAGCCTGGGCCTGGAGGGGTACACGGCAGAGCCCCCCCAGGTACTGACTGACTGGAGGGGACCCAGGAAGTCCTGTGCTACAAAGGAACCAGAGAGGAAGCTGTAACAGGTGACACAGCGTTCAGACCGGGCCGGCCAAGGCCCCAGGGGAGGTCTGCTCGTCATCGGCTGGCTGGCAGAAAGGTGTGAGGCTGGGGCCGTGTTCCGCAGAAAGGGCCAGATCTGTTTTGCTAATTCATAATTTTACCAAAGGAGCCGGGCGCCGTGGCTCACGCCTGTCATCCCAGCAACTCAGGAGGCTGAGATCTGAGGATCACGGCTCAAAGCCAGCCCTGGACAAGAAAGTCCGTGAGACTGATCTCCAATCAACTACCCACAAAAAGTGCGAAGTGGAGCTGTGGCTCAAGGGGTTGAGCGCCAGCCTTGAGCACAAAGAGGGCTCACGGACAGCACCCAGGCCCTGAGTTCAAGTCCCAGGATGGGCCCAAAAATATAGAGAGAAAAGGGCTGGTGTTTGCTGGCCCTGCCGAGTCTAGACACACCTAAGGTTCTAGAAGTTTTACTGTCCCGCCATTCCCACCCGTCTTTCCTTGGGTCAGCTGCTTCCAAAGGACACAGCTCTCAAGAATCAAAGAGGCCTGAGCCCCGGTTCTTTGTTGGGCTCCCTGGATGTCCGACCCCGGCCCTCGCGGTGGGTCAGCCATGCACTGGATTCAGACGTGTGTTCCCTGCCGAGCTATCTTCAGCGATCTGACCAAGAGGACCTGGGCCCAGCCCCAGGCGTGACGACGGGTCGGGCTGGAGGTTAGCGGCGTTCCTGCCGGCTTCCAGCCCAAAGTTATTAGGGCTGAGAAAACATGTTTGTGCACCCGAAACCCTGGCCCTGTTTACCTCCCACGTGCTCCCGTGGCACCCACGCAGAAAGGAACTCGGATGTAAGCTGTCACGCAGCGTTCTGATTTTGTACCTCGACATAAATGACATCTCGGCCACAGCAAGTGGAAACCCTGTTTTAACAAGCCTGGACTCTACTGCTCACGCCACGGTACTGTTCCCAACCCAGCTCTTTCACTCAAGGCTGGCGCTCTACCACTTGAGCCACAGCTCCACTTCCAGTTTTCTAATGGTTCCTTGGAGATGAGTCTCTCAGACTTTCGTGCTCAGGCTGGCCTTGAACCGTGATCCTCAGATCTCAGCCTCCTGAGTTACTGGAATTACAGGCATGAGCCACTGGTGCCTGGCTATACTTTCTAAATCTTAATGAAAGGAACAGTAGATCTACTGTAAGTGAGCGTCTCCTAAACTTTAGGCTCTGAGCTTGCTTTCCACAAAGACAGCTCCTCGATCTTAGATCTTAGACCACCCTGGGTGCCCCAATTTCAGGGGGCCAAACTGCTGTAGGGCGGAGGCCCCCGTTGGGTAGATCTAGAGAGTCGCAGGTATTTACAACAAACTGTTCTGTCCTCATCGGGAACAGACGGCGACCTCACTGCAGACGCGACCTGCCTCCTCCTCAAGCACCCAGCCTGTGCCCGGGAGACGGCGTCCTGCCCTTGGCACAGGCAACTCAGCCGTAAGCACCACGCAGGGGGAGGGTGCAATCGTCCAGCTAAGTGAGACTGGCTTCCTGCTTCCTGTGAACCATCGACCCTGCACATGCGTGTGTAGAGACACCGATGGGGAGCCCATGGCCCGGGGCCACGGGGCCGACCCCAAGCCCACCCTGCTCCGGTCCCCAGCGCAGTCCCTCTACCCACATGCCCAGCAGACAGCCGGAGCCTACGACCACCAGCCACGGGCCACGTGCTGCCAGAAGCCCGGGGTGCGCCCGCCCCAGACGCCTGACACTAGGAAAACAGATTCCCAGGCCTGTCCAGGCTGGAGATGGCGGAAGAGGGGGCAGGTTCTCAGCAACCTGACAATCAACCTTTCCACTGTGGCTGGGTGCAGGGCAGAGGGGAGGATAGAGGGGATGGAGGGGAGGAGAGAGGGGGATGGAGAGGAGGACAGAGGGGGACAGAGGGGAGGCAGAGGGGGGACAGAGGGGGAAGGAGGGGGATGGAGGGGAGGACAGAGGGGACAGGAGGGGTAGAGGGAGGGACAGAGGGGGGCGGAGGGGGAAGGAAGGGGGTAGAGGGGGGACGGAGGGGGAAGGAGGGGGGTAGAGGGGGGACAGAGGGGGAAGGAGGGGGATGGAGGGGAGACAGAGAGGACAGAGGGGGGCAGCAGGGAGGATGGAGGGGATAGAGGGGAGGACAGAGGGGGACAGAGGGGACAGAGGGGGAAGGAGGAGGATGGAGGGGAGGACAGAGGGGGACAGAGGGGGCGCAGAGGGGGAAGGAGGGGGATGGAGGGGAGGACAGAGGGGAGGATGGGGGGTGGAGGGGGGCTGGAAGGAGAGGAAGGGGAAGGATGGGGAGGGGAAGGTGGAGGGGGGTCAGAGTGGGGACGGAGGGAAGGATGAAGGGGGAGGAAGGGGACAGATGGAGGGGGGCTGGAGGGGAGGATGGAGGGGGGAATAGAGGGGAGACGCGTCTCTTACCTTCTTATCACTCAGCCCAGAAACCTGGTCCACGTACTCCTCCTGGATCATGAAGGCGGCGAGGTTGGCAGTGTAGCTGGCCAGGAAGATGACGGCGAAGAAGGCCCACACGGACACCATGATCTTGGAGGTGGTTCCCTTGGGGTTCTGTACAGGCACGGAGTTGTTGAACACCAGGCCCCACAGCAGCCAGATGGCCTTGCCGATGGTGAAGGACGGGCCGCCCGGCTCTGGCGTGGCACACGGAAGAGGGGACAGGGTGTCAGACCCGGCCCCGGCTCCCCACGGGGGGAGGGGGGCAGTCAGGAGCCAGAGCCTGCCACAGAGTCTCCCACGGACCCCCCCATCACCCGAGAGCGCCCGGCCCGCCCCGGGGCCCGAGGAAAACAGGAGGAGTGCTGGGATGTGTGTGCACGTGTATGTGTGCACGTGTGCATGCACAAGTGCATGCTCTTTCCCCCACTAGTAGTCCCTGCCTTCATTGATACGTAAAACACCCGGTGCGCGTGGAAATGGCGACCTAGGGGTGCATCCTGTGACTCGTGGAGGGTTTTGTTTGCTTGCTTGCTTTGTTCTTCCTCCTGGAGCCCCTGGGCGGGAATCTGGGTCACTGATTCTAGCTGACCTCAACGGACTGTGGGCATGGGGCTACCGCTCCCCAAAACACACACTGAACAAGGCTGGTCTGCGCCGGGAGGCCCGTGGGCACAGACAGGCTTGGGAACCCGGTGGAGGCTTGCGGGTCACTTAATATTATCTGTTATTTATTTATTTATTGTCAGTGGCGCGCTCAGCTCCATCGAGACTCAAGTGGATCAGAAAACGAGGCTCTGGTGGCTCAGTCCATAAAGTGTTCCCTGGGTCAATCTTTCTAGCCGCCAGGGTTATTACTCTTTTGTCTTGGAAGTATAAGTCTCTGGGAGAAGGCTGAAAGGAGAAGATGAATAAATCTGTATTTTTTGCCCATCCTGGGGCTTGAACTCAGGGCCTGGGTGCTGTCCCTGAGCCTCTTTGTGCTTAAGGCTGGTGCTCTACCACTTGAGCCGTCGTGCAACTTCCTGTTTTCTGGTGGTTCCTTGGAGATCAGAGTCTCACAGACTTTCCTGCCTGGGCTGGCTTCGAACTGTGATCCTCAGATCTCAGCCTCCTGAGTGGCTGGGGTGACAGGCGTGAGCCATGGTGCCTGGCAGCCCTGAGGTTCTTAATGAAATTTTAGAGGCTCTGTTTACCAGTTAGGGCCATGCACCCCACCTTGGGCCATTCTGTGAGTGACCAGGACGTGTGAGCTCAAACTCCTGCACAGTTCAAGCTCCTCTCGCCTGGCAGCTCAGGAACTCGGACCCCTGCGAGTCAGGCTGTGTGTGAGTTCTCATCCTGGGTGGACTGATTTCCGTTTATTATTCTCCAAACATCTGTCTCCCGTGAGATCTTGTACTCTCTTCTGCCCTTTGGGGACTCAGTCAGTGACAACCACCAGCAACAGCCTGGAGTAGGGGACCCTTATTCTTAACACGCGTGTGCCATCCGCCTGGTGACTTGGCTCTTCCCATGTAGATGCGTGGACACACGTGGGACATGCGGACACAGCTCTTCATCCCCTGCTGTACTTCTCAGACCGGACCCCGGCCCACGTGGCACAGGCTGACACGAGCACTTTCGTGGGAGTCTTTGTTAGGTGTTACTGGGCTGCTGGCCCCAGAGATACATTAAACCACAGACAGAGAGAAAGAGGGGGAACACAGAGAAACAAGGATCGTGCCCCCCTCCCGCCTTACCTCTGCCGTCCGCCAGGCACCGGTTATAACCCACGGGGCTGAAGTACTCAAACACGAACACGGCCACGGCAGACACGATGAGCAGCATCACGAACATCATCACCCACACGTCCGCGCTGAACGGCTCTGCGGTGGGGAGGAAAATGGCAGCGGGGTCAATGCGGCGCGCCGCGCTGAGCAGAGCTGATCGTCACGCGAACACGCGAGAAAGGCTGCTTTGGGTTGGAGCCCCCCTCCCTTTTACTACAAGCTATGACGTTATGATGATTATAATTAAGGGGCAGGCAGAGGGCGCACTGATTGTCACTCCGTCCTTTGAGGTGTGTAAGGACTGGTGTGCATCGGCCCCGTTATCTGGGTCTCTGAGCCCAAGATACAAGGAGATGATCTAGCAATGGCGGCGTAAGACAATGTCGTCCCCATGTTCTGCTCAATGCTGTGCCCTAGCCGTTCATACCACAAAGAAGCCTCCAGGAGTCACGGCTTCATGGCCACGTTAGCTTTCAACAGACTTGGTGTAGCTCATTCCAAGTTGTGCCAGTCCTGGGGCTTGAACTCAGGATCCTTGGGTACCATCCCTTAGCTTTTTTTTTTTTGGTCGGTCATGGGACTTGAACTCTGGGCCTGGGCGCTGTCCCTCAGCTCTTCAGCTCAAGGTGAGCGCTCTACCACTTGAGCTACAGTGCCACTTCCGGTTTTCTGGTGGTTTATTGGAGATAGGAGTCTCACGGTCTCTCCTGCCCGGGCTGGCTTTGAACCATGATCCTCAGATCTCAGCCTCCTGAGTAGCTAGGATTACAGGCGTGAGCCACCAGTGCCCAGCTATCCCTTAGCTTTTTTGTTCAAGGCTGGCACTCTACCACTTGAACCACAGATCTACTTGCCTATCTCGGCACTGAATTAGTTGGGCAATGATCATGAAAACTGACTGAAAACTGACTACTAATCCTCCCCCCCACCCGCCGCCCCGTTTAACCTTCCTTAAACTCCTCAGCAGAGATTGACTTCTCCAGCCTGCTCTGTGTGATGTCAGACACCATGAGGAGACAAGAAAGTAAGTCCATGTTTGGTTTTCTTTCTTTTTAACGCACAAAATGACAACATAAATGCCACCAGGTACTAGTGCTCATGCCTGTAATCCCAGCTACTCAGGAAGCTGAGATCGGAGGAGGATCGCCGGGCGATCGAACCCTGGGACTCTTGTCCCCAATGAACCAGCCAAAGGCTCAATGTAGGGGCGTTGTTCAAGTGGTAGAGTCCCAGCTGTGAGCAAAGTGGTAGAGAAGTGTGTGACCCTCTGTCCTCTCCAGTGGTGAGTTAACACAATTGAAAACATGCCCGGCACAGGTCACACGGCTCCTGTTCAGAATGTTTTGACTTCTCTTGTTCCTAACACAAGCTGACTGACGCGTCTCCAAACACAGCCATGGAACATTCTGGGGCTCACGGGTCTTTTAGATCAGAAGCTAAGGTCAGTGTGCATCTGGCAGAGTTCGGGATGCACGCGTGTGTGTCTCTTCCGGTGCCAATCATCCTTTGAAGGAGAATATGCAAATATATTGCATCCCTCAGATTCGCACGCACAAGGGCCGGCTGACAGTCGCCCATGAAATCACCAAGGACAAAAGTGTCTTTCACTATGAATAAGAAGACCGGCCAATGGGACGGAGTAAATTTATAGGAGAGAAAAAAATTCCACTCCGTGTGCATCGACTGAATTGATTCTTGCGCAGACGCAATGTGAGCTCGTGTCCGCCTCTGTCCGCTCTGATGCCAGCCACATTTGAAAACAAAGATGCCCGGGTCCTTCAGAGAGACTGTGACTCGTTCAAGGACCCAGGAGTTGGTTTACGACCAACCAGCCCCGTGCTGTGTCCTCAGGGTGATGGTTTATTCGTTTCACCCCCTCTTTGTGCCACAGCCCCCGAGGGAGATAACTATGGGGTGTGAGCCCCCCACGATCTCATCTAATTGAAGTTGGCCCAGGCTCATGCCGGGGTCCATGGGCTCTGAGGGCTTGGCGTTTAAGATGGCCGAGGGGTGGGCAGGTGGGAGGGTGGCAGGGGGGGAGAAAGTGGCAGATCGCAGCCTCAGAAGATCCCCTGCACCCCGTTTTTTTTTGGTAGTGCTATAACTCAACTCCCAAGGAAAATAATAAAAAAGCAACCGGGTGTATCCCACTTTTGACGCCGGCCATGAGAGGTGCTGGCGGCAGGAGGTGGTCCCCGGGCCACCCCGGGGAGATGTCTTCTTCTTGGATGAGGAAACCGAGTGTCAGGATGGAGCACAGCTGCTCCCCATTAACTGAAGTGATAAGGAAAGGACTGCAGCAGGCCCCCTGGCGGCCTGTCCGGACACTGTGGATGAGGTGTCGCCTTCTTGTTTCTCTGCGTGTTCTTCCATCTCCATATTTGGGAAGAATCAACACTGAGTCACAGCCAGGTGGACCTCCGGGACCAGCTCCCCCCGGGCAGGAAGGACAGCCGCGGGCCACCACCGTTCTGCTGTTCTGCCCCCTCCTCTCGCCCCCCCCATCTGCCCACCCCCCATCTGGGCAGCGGCAGCGGCACCACTTCCTTACCCAGGAAGGCGGAAGGCGAGACGGTGCCGTTGCTGCGGGACACCATGACGCTGATGCCGGTCTCGATGAAGGGTACAGAGAAGTCCACCACCTCTGAGCGCTCCTCATTGATGGTGAGCGAGCCCACCGCCATGTAGGCCCTCTTCATCACCACCTGTGGGCAGAGCAGTGCCGTGGTCAGAACATTCTGGAAGGCCAGGGCCACCCCCAGGGAAGACAGAACATTCTGGAAGGCAAAGACCACCACCAGCAAGATAGAACATTCTGGAAGGCAAGGGGCACCACCAGCAAGATAGAACATTCTGGAAGGCAAGGCCACCACAGGGAAGATAGACCATCCCAGAAGGTGCGAGGCCAACACCAGGAAAATGGAATATTCTAGAAGGCAGGGGCCACCACCAGAAAAGTAGAATAATTGGAAGGCCAGGGCCACCATCAGAAAAACAGAACATTCTAGAAGGCAAGGGTGATCATTAGGAGACCAGAACACTCCTGAAGGCCAGGGCCGTGACAGGGAAGATAGAACATTCCTGAAGGCCAGGGCCTCCACCAGCACACTGGGGGGCCTCCTGGGGTGGGAGTGTTAGCTCTGCTCACTGTTTGGTGTTTGTGGGAGCGAGTGTGTGGCCGGGCAGAGCCCGAGTCGGGGCGGGGTGCGGGGTGCGTGCGGGGCTCCCGGGCTCACCCCCAGCCCGCCCGCTCACCTCGCCGATCATGCCGTTCCACGTGCCGTTGATCTTCTTCCCGTGCTTGCCGTTGGTGACCAGGTAGAGGTCATAGGTGAACTTCACCGACTTGGAGATCTTCTTGAGGATGTCGATGCAGAAGCCCTTGCAGCACTTCTTGATGTAGCCCGGCTCCTCGTCTGTCTTATTTCTGGCCGCCAGTTACAGGAGAAGAAAGGAGAGAGAGAGAGAGAACGACACAAGAAGCGCCATCTTAAGCCGGCCCAGAAACGCCGCCATCGTACTGTGATCGAAACGCACTCGGTCCCATTTCCTCACACATTTTTTTTTATGTCAGTCCTGGGGCTTGAACTCAGGGCCTGGGCGCTGTCCCTGAGCTCTTCAGCTCAAGGCGGGCGCTCTACCACGTGAGCCACAGCTCCACTTCTGGTTTTTCTGGTGATTCATTGGAGATCAAAGTCTCACAGACTTTCCTGCCGGGGCTGGCTTTGAACTTGAGATCCTCCAGATCTCAACCTCCCAAGCAGCTGGGGTGAGGGGCGTGCGTTACCTGCACACAGCTCCCAGAGGTTTCTTAACCCTAACTCCCAATAGGTGTTTTATCCGTCTCCCCAAATCGTGCTGGACCCTCAGACTGGGGGCCCTGCTGGCTCAGCACCCACAGTGACCTGGAGCCCCCCAGGAACTTGAGGCCAGGCAAGGATGGCGGTGGGGACCTTGGCGCAATCGGCGCCCAGGCCACACGCCTCCCCCCCCTGTCCCCTGCCTGCGGACCACGTACTCGGAGATGATGCGCTTCTGGCAGGGGACCGTGTTGCGCATGCAGGTGCCGCTCAGGGGGTCCACGCTCTCCACGATGACAAAGGGCGCCTCCTCCAGCGTCACGATGCTCAGGTGGTCGTCCTCCTGCTCCTCCGTCTCGGGGCACATGCGCGGCCACACATAGTACTTCATCTGCAGGGACTTGTCTTTCCACTTGCCCACCTGCGTGGAGTGAGATGGGGGGGGAGGGCTCAGGCATGGGATGGGGGGGAGTGAGGCAAGGGGGGGAACGAGCCCCCCCCGTGCCCACCCAGAGCTCACACTGGGTGAGGAAGGCAGGGGTGCAAGGGTCTGTTTAGGGCGCATGAAGCTGTGAGGAAAGCTCATTCTACCTCGCTGAGGGGGCCGGGGGTCCCATCTGTCTGTTCCATTTCACCTTAAGACGCAGGAGAGAGAGCAGGGTTCAAAATCTCCTGCCCCCCCTTTAATTTTTATATGTAGTCGGTGGTGAGACTTGAACTCAGGGCCTGGGCGCTGTCCCTGAGCTCTTTCACTCAAGGCTGGCACTCTACCACTTGAGCCATAGCACCACTTCCAATTTTCTGGTGGTTCATTGGAGATCGGAGTCTCATGGACTTTCCTGCTGGGGCTGGCTTTGAACCATGATCCTCGGCTCTCAGCCTCCTAAGTAGCTGGGATGATGGGCGTGAGCCACCGGTGCCTGGCTCTCCCTTTTTTTTTTTAAATTATGGTGTATCGATGTGTGGGTATATCACCGTGCAACACCCTTGCGTGGTTAATAGATGCTGGTAAAAAAAAAATCATTATTATTATTATTTTAAGATAAAGAGCCTTGAGCACAAAGAGGCTCAGGGACAGTGCCCAGGCCCTGAGTTCAAGCCCCACGACCCCGGACCCGCACAAAAACCAAACAAAACCCACGAAGATCAGATGCTGGTGCAAGACCCAACCCAGGTTGGTGGGGAATATACCGTCCTGGCAGAATTTGGACCAAATGTCTCTTGGCATTCTTGCCAGCAAGATAAATGACCATACAACCTACTGTGTACACGGACAGATTGAACAAGAGTTTAAAATCTCTATCTACCCCCCCCCCAAATAAAAAGGAAAGAAAAGGTTATTTAACACATCAGTGTTGACACTAAAGGAGCTCTTTAGTGATCCAGCAGAGGGTCTTTGTTTTGTTCACAGCAGTGACTGCAGAGAATGCTTTAGAAAACAAAACAGGGGTCTAGCAGGCAGAGAGCAGACAGCCCAGGGCTGAAGGGAAAACACACTGGGCTTTGGATCCACACTTGGGGGATGCTGTGGGTGGGGGTATGGGGGGATGTGGCCGGAGTTGTTGTTAAGGATGAGCATTTGGATTTTTCTTTTGCCAGACCTGGAGCTTGAACTCAGGGCCTGGGCGCTGTCTCCAAGCCTCTTTGTACTCAAGGCTGGCGCTCTACCACTTGACCATTTGAGCCACAGAGTCACTTCTGGTTTTCTGGTGGTTTATTGGAGATAAGAGTCTCATAGACTTTCCTGCCTGGGCTGGCTTTGAACTGGGATCCTCAGATCTCAGCCTCCTGAGTAGCTGGGATGACACATGTGAGCCACTGGTGCCTGGCTAACATTTGGATTTTTCAAGAGCAAGTTCCTGTTACTAAATAGGAGATGATTCAGCAGTCTATAAAACAATTATAATCACAAAAGGCAATCTGTAGACAGACTTATGTCTGTGATCAACTTTGCTTTGTGTTCAGCACATGACAGCTGGAAAAAGAGGTTCTGAGCCCATAATTCTGGAAGCCACTCATTTATTTTTGGTGCCAGTCCTGGGGCTTGAACTCAAGGCCTGAGCGCTGTTCCTAAGTTTTTTGTTTGTTTGGTGGGTCATGGAGCTTGAACTCTGGGCCTGAGCACTGTCGCTCAGCTCTTCAGCTCAAGGCTAGCGCTCTACCACTTGAGCTATAGTGCCACTTCCCCTAAGTTTTTTTTTTTAACCTCAAGTCTAAACTCTCTCATTTGAGCGACAGCCCCACTTCTGGATTTTTGCTGGTTCATGGAGATGAAGAGTCTCACCAATTCTCCTGCCCAGGCTGGCCTTGAACCGCAGTCCTCAGACCTCAGCCTCCTGAGAAGCTGGGATGACAGGTGTGAGCCAGCGGGCCTTGGTGAAGGGCTTGTTTCTGTGCAAGACTCGTGTATTGTAAGCTGTTTTTCTTTTCCCCGTTTTCTTGGGGATGACAAGGCGAGAAGGAAAGTTAATAAAATCTATAGATGGCTAAGAGGAGATTTTGTTTTGAACTACAACAAAAATCCACTACAAATATCAGGTCCATGCTGGTGGCAAGGAGGCGCGGCGTTGGAGGACACATTGGGACGGGCTTTTTTCTCGGTCATTCTTGCTGTTTCTCTTTTGCATCGCTGGGGATCGAACCCTGGGTTCGGCATGTTTTAGGCACATGCTACCCCTGACCCATGCCCCTGCCTTAAATCTCTACAGATTAAAGTAGGTTACAAATAATGAAAAGTTGACTAAAAGGAGGAACGTTTACATAGAAAGAACCCAGCCTACTTGACAAAATTCTTCCTTCGAGGAGAAGGAAATATGGCAAGAATATTACGCATGGAAAAGTCTGGAAGGGCAATGAAGAGTCACTAGAGAAAGAGCAGCTTGAGGTGCAGAGAGGAACATTCCAGAACATTTTATCTACAGAATATAGGATCTTGGAAAGGTAGAGAAGGAGCAGGAAATGAAGATCAACAGGGAAGAGGAGAGACAAGAGAAAAAAAAGTGTGGAAGAAGAAAAATCAAGTGAAGAATGTTTAATCAAGTAGGTAAATTTATAATCAAGCGGGTGAACTTACAGTCGAGTTTAAAACATGATCAGGGGAAACCAACCAACCAATGAAAAGTTAAGACAGAACAGGGAGAATCAACGAGTGTGAAAAACGAGTGTGAAAACACTTGTACTTCCTGGAAGGTGAACGCTACGCGGACGTCAGTACCACAGACTCCGTGGAGGGGGGAAGGGGGGAGGGAGAAGGAGCCTTGTGCCCCGGGGGGGTGGGGATGGATCATCATCCTTCCCCATGGTGTTTTAGTGCCTGCGCTCTGCCCAGAGCTGGGCAGATTCCAGAAGAATCTGGAATCCGTGGAAGGACAGAGCCGCTGGCTAAGTGGCGTGCGGTGAAAGGGGGGGGTCACAGCTTGTGGCGGAAGAAACAGATGATGAGAAGAGTGCTGGGGGGCGTGGGGGGGGAGGACGCCTGTTTACAAACACGGCTTAATTAATTAGCCAGCCAGAGGAGGCCGCGTGCAGGTGTCAGGCCGAGAATTAATTAACACCCGGACGCCAGCCCCCGGGGCGGTGTCCAGAGCCACGTGGTCTAGTACCATGACTGAGCTCGCCAGCAGCGCTCTTTACTTTGCCCAAGTTGCTCTGGTGGCCTGATGGAAGCTACTGGACTGAGAAAATGCTAGAATGACCATGGGCTTGGTGGATCGCAGTGGGGAGAGGCCGCTGTGTGTCAGGGAACGCCAAGGCCTGCAGACCCGCCACCCCGATCTTCTGAGGGTCCTGAGGTGTGAACTCAGGGTCTTACCCTGGCCAGGCAGGTGCCCTACCCCTTGAGTCACGCCCCACCCTGCTTGGCGCCCAGGCGGCCTCAGACCTCCGTCTTCCCAGCTGGACCTCCTTCCTGTGCAGCTGGGATGGCAGGCTGCTCCACATGCTGCTGACTTATTGGTCAACACGGACTGGGTCCTCTCAGTCTCTGCCTCTGGAGCAGTGGTTGGGATTACAGGCGTGAGCCACCCTACTCAGCCCTCTGCCTCTGCTGACTGCTTCCTTTTGTTTCAATGGGCAAAAGAGCTGCTTGAAAAGACGCAGCAGATGCCCCCCCCCCCGTGGAAAATACACCCAAGACGGTGAGAAACACAGCCGGATGGAGTTGTCCAGCCTGGGGAGGGAGGGAGCCAGGGCCAGTCTTGGAGGAAAGGGGTTTTTGCTCTTTGCCCCTTGTGGGCCTTGGAGAGGGAAAAGTGACTTTCAGGGCCGGCTGTTAACCGTTTCCGTTTGTCACGCGTGCATTCTCTAGCGGGCGGCGTGGAGGCTGTCCTGGCCACGTCTTGGGGTGGGGGGGGTTAATGGAGCGGAAAGTAACTGTGGGTCACACTGTAAATAGAACGCAGCAGCGGGGCGGCGAGGGTCAAGGCAGGGCACCGGGGAGGCCGGAAGCCGGGCAGAAGGACGCGTGGACACGGGGACAGACACAGGGTGGGGGGGTGGAGAGTCGGAGTGCACCACTGCTGAGCAAGCTGCTCGGACCAGAATCACATGTGAGAGAAGAGAACACTACTTCCGGTCTTGCTCCAGAAGCATCGGCTCCAGAATGTCTGCTCCAGAACACCTACTCCAAACGCCTGCTCCACAACACCTGCTCTACAACGCCTGCTCCAGAACACCTGCTCTACAACACCTGCTCCAGTACACCTGCCCTACAACACCTGCTCCAGAACATCTGCTCTACAACACCTGCTCCAGAACATCGGCTCTACAATGCTTGCTCCAGAACACCTGGACCACAATACCTGCTCCAGAACACCTGCTCCACAATGCCTGCTCATGAACACCTGCTCCAGAATACCTGCTCCAGAACACCTGCTCCACAATGCCTGCTCATGAACACCTGCTCCAGAATACCTGCTCCAGAACACCTGCTCCACAATGCCTGCTCATGAACACCTGCTCCAGAATACCTGCTCCAGAACACCTGCTCCACAATGCCTGCTCATGAACACCTGCTCCAGAATATCTGCTCCAGAACACCAGCTCCACAATGCTTGCTCATGAACACCTGCTCCAGACCATCTGCTCCAGAACACCTGCTCACAACACCTGCTCCAGAATATCCACACCAGACCATCTGCTCCGAACACCTGCTTTAGAGTCTTCACACAGGCTCCACCAGGAGAGTCTCTGGATCTCCATATGGAACATCCATTGATAGCAACTTTCCTTCCCTTCCCCTCCCCTTCTCTCCCCTCCCCTCCCTGCCCTCCGGTCCCCTCCCTCTTCCTTCATTGTTGGCAGTACTGCAGGTTAGAACTCAAGTCTAACGCTCACAAGACGAGTGCTCTGCCACTTGAGCCGTCGTACAAAGTCTTTTTTTGAGATATATATATATATATATATTGTAAAGATACTGTACAG